AGGAACTACAATGGAGATTATAGGTGGAGTCGTTGGGGTTTGGGGCATAGTAGTTTAAAGTTTACCCTAACCCTCCAGGTACCTATTATATAGGGCCCTAGGGGGCTCTAGTACCCTCTATAGCAGGTACCTGGAGGGTTAGGGTTAGGGTTTAGTATTTAAGGTGTAGGGCTTGGGGTTGAGGGCCTTTGCAGAGCTGCAATTATTGGCATATGCTCCCATGGCACGCGGCTTTGGAGCTCGTTCTGCTTCGATTGCAAGGTTCCGAGTTGGGCAGTACTCCAAGATTACAATCCCAAAGGATCTAAAGTACCTGTATAGTAGAATGTAGGGGGTTTCTACATTAGAGAGCCTTATTATGGTTCTGGAAAGTATCCGCCATAACGTTTCCTAGGACCCTTTGGGAATATGCAGACATTGGTAGATCCTAGCTGAGGAAGACAGAGCGCTGAGCGATCGGGGAACGGGCAGCGTGCCCGTCCATGCACACAGAAACCCCAATGGAACCTCGACCGGAGCTCTAAATCCTCAACCCTAAACTCATGAAACCCCAAAATGCCCAGAGACCCCAATATCCCCTACAGTAACTAAGGAATATGATTACCGTAAATCATGACATTAAGGCCCCTATGATTTTAAGGTCTATTCCTTAAGAAGAGGGTATTGGGATCTCTGGGTGGCCCTAAACCTGAAACCCCTATGCCAACCCAAAGCCCTAGAAGGTGCACTGCCACGGCACATGAGCCACATATGCCAGTGAGTAGACCAGGGCCAGTGGCGGGAAAGGATGCTCGGAGAAATCTCCGCCTCTGCCGCAATGGCCAGCAGCAAAGAAGGGGGGTTTAGGGTACCCTAAACCCTAAACCCTGGGCATGATACAAAAAGCCCGAACCTCAAGCTTACAATGTCCTCTACACCCTACACCCCGAACCAGATTCCGTGAAGACAAGTCACAGAACATGGTGAAGTGGTAGTGCTTGAACGCAGCCTCCCGGGTCTCATGGGTCCCGTCCTCGATGTAGACGTGCTGAGCGAGCATGTCTTCCTTCACTGACCTGAAAAGTTCCCAACTAGTCCTAGGTCTTGTTATGGGGAAACTTTCCCAAATCACAACAAGGGTTCCTAATACAGAACCCCTACATTCTACTATATAGGTACTTTGGAAGCTGTCCCTCTCTTAGTCCCCGAAACCGTCAACCTAACCCTAAACCCCTTACCTACTCGAAACCCTATGACCTCAAGTTGAGGTACGCTGCAAGCTGTTGGGAGAGAACGAAAACTTCCAAGACTCTGGTAGCTGATGAGGATAATACTAGCAGCAATAGTCAGCATCATAATCACAAGAAGTTAATTGTCATATAGGGGCCTAATACAGCCACAAAAATTAGAAACGGGTTCTTTAACCAGGGCTTCTTATTATGATCATGGCGCAGCATACCCCAACAAAAACCTTCTCGCATTATTAAGGCCTCTATATTACTGGATTTACTGCAGTTCCCTGAGAAGCTGGCTCCTACACCCTAAACTCTGAACCCGAAAATCCTAAACCCGAATCCGAAGCACTTAAATGCAGGGGCCTGAACAATTAGAATAGAATTTTGAGGGTTCCTTGTTATAATTATAGTATAATATACCCCAAACCCTATTCTGATTATTAAGGCCTCTATATTAAGCTGGTCGGTGCAGTTGCAGACAACGACTCCATCCTGGCGCCTTTGTCCCAAGCCTTCGAACGTTTCGTGTCCCAGAAAGAGGATGTCTTTGTTCCCATTATGCGATACTAAATTATTGTAAACTACACTCAATGCTAGATTATAGTGAAGACTGTTCTATGATAGTCTATACATTGACAATTACGGCTAGCCCCCCCGCTCTCTGCCCTCAAACTTGTCCCTAAACTCTAAACCCTGTCCCTAAACCCTAAACCCTAAACCTAAGGGGCAAACTTGTCCCTAAACCCTAAACCCTAAATCTAGGCTCGATGAGCCGCTTTGCCTGCCGGGCCGCTCTGCAAACAGCTTCGTGCCATTGGGCCCTGCGCAGTAGCTGTCCTTCTCGGCACTGGGCTAAACCCTAAACCCCTAAACCCCTTAATGAACCCCTAAACCTTGAACCCTAAACCCCTAAACCCCTTGATTAACCCCTAAACCCTAAACCCAAAGCCCTACTTGGCGATTGAGGGCTCAAGGCTGGCTTCGGGCTCTTTCAGCTCAAGCGCTGGATCTCGAGGTCACGGAGGAAGTGCCCAGCCCAAAGGGTGTAGGGTTCAGTAGGGTTTAGGGTTTAGGGGTTTAGGGTTTAGGGTTTAGGGTTTAGGGTTCAGGGTTTAGGGTTCATGGTCCAGGGTTTAGGGGTTCAGGGTTCAGGGTTTTAGTAGAGCGCAGGGTTTCTATATGAAGAATCCTTACTATGATTTGGGAAAGTGTCCCCCTTAACAGTACCCAAGACCCTTTGGGCAGATATGTTGCGGTTCAGGGTTTAGTAGGGTACTGCGCCAACATACATGAAGAGGACCCTCAACCCTAAACCCCAAGCCCTAGTCAAACAGACAAATTGGGGTTTAGGAGTCAGGGTCGGGCACTCACTCTGCTACCACCGACGATGGAGTTCTAGATGGACAGCAGGATCGCGACTCCACCATGCTCAGCTAACGATGCAAGTCGGCAAGATATGGTGGCCGAAATCGTTCTGACAGGGTTTGCAAGTGCATTGCGAGTGCATTTTAGGTTATTATAATTTTATGATATAGGGACTATGCAGGACTGCGATGCGTAATGATTCCGACACCCCATGTTATCACGACGCCGCACTACTCGGGCTTAGGATTTAAGGCCCTTAAGGTTTAGGGTTTTGAGTTTTGGGTTTAAGCAGTGCATTTGGCTTGTGGGGTTGTTCCTGCGAAAGGAAGTAGACGGAGAGCGTGTACTTCTTCCTGTAGGCGACGGTCGTGGGAAACTCCTGAACCGGTTTAAGGTCTAGGGTTCAGGGTTTAGGGCTCAGGGTTTAGATTTAGGGTTCAGGGCTTGGAGCTCAGGGTTCAGGGTTTAGGGCTTTGGGTTTAGGGTCTAAGGTTCAGGGTGAGCGTTCGAGACATGTTGCCCAACAGGAAGTCCCTGCACAAACAGCACTAATCATACTCGGGCAGCCACACGGACACATGTAAGTGTGTGTCTGTGTGTGTGTGTGTGTGTATGTACGTATGTATGTATGAAGGCACGTGTGCATGCAAGCGAGGATGGATGCATGTATGCAGATGTGAATGCAGTACGGTATTATTTATGACTCCTCACAGAGAGGCAACGAGAGATGACAGGTAGGTTTCTCCCTGGCTTGCATCTACCCTCGCGTATAATGATATGATGCATGATTGCATGGGACAAACAAGGCAGCTAACGCAAAGGCAAACCGAAAAAGCTACGAGCATCAGGTGCTTATAAAACCCTAAACCCTCAATCCCTGAACCGATCTCGCGATTACTGTCTGGTGCTTATTAGGGAATGGGAGAATGGATCCCTATGATAGTCCCTCAAGGTCGCTTATAGTAGTCCCTATAACCCATTCCCCATTCCCTACTAAG